AGTACTTCACAGCTTCTAGTAATTGACACCATCGTGGAGTCTGTTAAAAAGGCATTTTAAAGAGTCCTATAGAAAAATGAAGAGTTCACTGAAACTGGATTTTTTCAGGAATCACTTCATGAGTAAATAAGCTAACCTAGGGCTGTGAAAAAAAAAAGAAGATAAGACTGCCATTGGTGTCATGAATGTAAGTATCTGTACCTAATGACTTGAAAGGTAGTCAGCTTATATGAATTATAGCATCCTTCTTATTGTCAGCCTAATCATAAGGACTGAGATGTTTAAAGATGTCTAATGCACCTAAATTCCACAAAATTCTACACAGGATGAGTATGCGCCTCTTCACAGTAAACAGGAGATCACTTGAATTTATGTATCTAGTTCTCCAGAGTTGTCTGAAGGTTAGCACCCACAAGCAGGAAGACAAGGCTAGAGTGGAGAACTGCGTGCATGCTTTGGGTGTTCTTAGTCGATAAAGGATGAAATCAGAATGCCATCCTGAGTGGAGTTTTCCACAGATGCTAATGAAAAATCCCACATATATATCTGTCCAGAACCTCTGAAGAGCTTTGTGTAACTCTGCTGTATTCTCTTAGGTAGCGGTTAGACTGCGCGTCACATGTACTAGATGCACTAAAATGAAACAACCTCAGGTTCTAATGAAAAAAAAAGCTGGACAAAATATTTGGTAAATGAATGAAATTGGCTTTTGGTCTTTCTTGGCCTAAAGCCTGTGCATATCTGTTTGCTTTAGGGAACCAGACGACAACTATTTCCAGCTTTGTATTTTTTCTTACAGTCAGATAGATGTTGGTTTTGCTTAAATTACAGACAGAAAAGAAAATGAAGGGAACTCTAGCAGCCTGGAAAAGATCATAAAACACTCACTCCAACAAAATACTGATTTGCTTACCTAATAATTGTCTCTAGACAGTAGTTATTACATTGTGTCAAAAGCAGTTATTACATCACATCATGCTGTAATTTTATCCCCAGTCCTGATCCACCAACGCAGTGACAACTAGTTGTCTCTTTGGAGTTAGGTTAGCTCTGAGGTTGAATTAAATTATGACACTAGACTACCTATGTTAAAATAGAGTGAGAAAGTCAGCATTCAGTTGAGAAGGTAGCGTGAGAGCTAGCAAGACCCTATTCTTAATCTGAGAGCAATACCTGCCATTCAATAAGAGCCTCTAAGCAACACATATCCTTTCATTGTGTAAATGCATTGTCTTATAACAGACAAAATGTTTAATAACAATTCAGATCTCATCTACAGAGACCTGCTATTATGAATCTGACGTCCTGAATTTACAAATAATGTTTAAAAATTGAAAACTGTCTGCAATGATATGCGCTGACTGTAAACCCACCATTTAAGCCTATATTGAGCATGTAATGGTTTCAAATTGTAATCTCTCCCTCTTTTCAGTTATATATATTGTAGCTCACAGCATGCCTTAGATCCTATCCTTTTGAACTACCTCATAAGCACAATTAAGCTGGCTTGCAGATGACCCTCTGGCTAATACATGAAAGTTATATAAAAACGTGTGTGCAGCATAAGACATACCAAGGACATATTCTGTCATACAAATGAATCACCGTTTAAAATTAAGAAAAAATATTTCCAGCGTTAACATTGCTCATGGTAACCTATTTTAGCAGCAAAAATTTTCACAAGGTATGTATTTGAAAGCACTGCACAGTTCTGCCTTATATAGATTCTTCTCTCCCACCCTAGTACTTGAATGCCTTCCAGAAGCACATTAAGCAACGTGACTAATGTCTGTCTCTTCTTCGTTCTTCTACTTTAAGCAGAACTATTACATTATTTTTGAACAACTACCTGCAAGTTGATGAAATATCATCTTTGCAAGGAACATAAATCTTTAAATTACTATGAAGACTATGGAAAAAATCAACTTTTGCAGAAGGAAGTACAGTTTCTCTTGATGTAACTGGACAATTGCCCAACTACGCCAGGACACAGTCTCTGTGTGTGAGCAGCGCAAAGCACTCTACCTTCTTGATGTATGTAGTTTTCTTGACGGAAAAAGCGAGTGATCTTTCACAGCAGCATTCATTTTGCTGAACAGGACTTGATTAAGATTTTTTCTGACCAATTAATACAACATGAGAGATCTTTTTCTCTTTGAAACTGAAACAGGTGTCCAATTTTGTAGATTTTGCTGCTTTATTAACCTAATTCTGCGTAGGGTTACTGATGCAGATAACTTACTGTCTTAAAGTAACTATCTTTTGTATCAAAGCATGAAGAAGAATAAAGGTCTAACTTTTTAATGGCATAATAACTTACTCTAAGCAATAGCTTTTAAGATCAGACCTAGGAGAAAACTAAAAATTAGCTGCTGTTCAGAAGATGCTAATTTTCCCACAGCTCCTCATATGTCTAGTGTCACATTTGGGCTAACATGAAATATAAGCTTTTGGAGTTGCTGGTAGTGTTTATATTGCTGTATATTTAAAGACTGCAGCCAGTCCAGGACACACTGTGCTAGATGCTGTACAAGCATAGAATAAATGACTATTCCAGCCTAAAAAGTTTGGTTGGTTTCCAACAGACTGACTATGAGGTTGCTAAGGAATACCCCTACATAGAGGAATAATAGACTAACAATTTCAGACCAGAGGAGCTGTCCGCCAACTCTCTCTTGTGACTGATTTATACAATGGCATAATCTTTTAAGATAAATAGTGGGATTCCCAGTGTAGCTGTAGACTGGGAGGAGCTACCATTTGATTTGCTTACAGCAACCTTTTGATGCACAGAACCTGAAGAGAGAAGACTGAGGGGCTGGGATTCATTAGTTTTATGTTTGCTTTTCACAGTTGTCATTCAATTGCACTGGGTCCTAGTGCCTGACCTCAAACTGAAAACAAACTGTCTGCCATCTTTTTGCCTTCCAAACCTTGTGAATACAGAGCCAGATGTATCCAACCATACAGCCAGTGTACGTTATTTCTTAGAAGAAATGTTTAATGTATAAGATAATAATCAGGATGATTCAGATGTCAAGGGTCTCAAGAGTTAGGGTTGAAAACCTGTTTTGTTTTGTTTTCCTCTAAAATTGTTTTGTCAGAATGCGTGGACAATTTGCAAAAAAAAGCGGAGAAGACCTACACACTGCATGTTGTGGACCTCAAGCTATTCTTCTTGGCAATGGAGAGGAACAAGGCTTTCTATTTTGTTTTTTGTTTTCTCCTACATGATCTATTTGGCAAAAGCATATTCTTTCTCAAACTGAATTTATACTCTCTGAAGTGCTGTAATTTTAATGACAGTTTAGACATTGATACATGTATTAGAATATATTTTCCCTTTAATAAGTGCTTTGATGTACCAAGTGTATTCTCAGTGTTGTATGTATGCATTGTCATTATAACCCCTTCGCAGTTATCCAGGAGATTAAAGGCTGCAGCTCTGCACAATTTCTGCCCAAAAGGAAAGGTTCAACTCCTACTGAGTCCTTGCAGCCTGGTACCAGTGTTTAGTGCACTCTACTTTCCACTGATCACAGTTGCAAGCCCTCGGATTTAGCGAATAATTTTTCTTTTGTATTCTTAATTCACATCCTGTCTTCAGCATTACAATGGTTCTGCATTTTCATGAATCTCTGTAGTCATGTAATGGCTCCACATTGTAAGGGTATTCACATTGTAGCAGTAGCCATGATTTTAAGTCAGGGTGTCCATGCAGTTAGCACATGAAATTGTGTCTATGGGCAATGATCATGTGTTTAGAATCCAGTGTCTTAGAGTTGGCTGTATGATCTGCATCAGCGAGACTCATTTAATAGCAACAAGTATACGTCTTTGCTAAAGGCATTGCTATCACTGCCTTGTTGTCTGCAGTACCCCATTTACAGGCCACAGCAGTCATCAAACTCTTTTCTAAAGGAGGTTTAAGAAGGTTGATTGTGGTGAGGGACCTGATGACAAGTGGACATTATAGGAAGATGTTACCTTCTAAAATCCAAGGGCAGCTATGCCTGCTTTCATCAGACGTGTTTAAAGAATGACTGTACATCTTCAGTGAATTTCTTGAGATTACCTAAACATCATATGGCAGTTAAAGGATCTTAACAGAAGAGATGATTGCACATTTCCACTGCCCTAAGAGAGATTCAAAGATCTCTGCTGTGATTGGTATCCCGTGGGCCCAGTTTCCAGAAAGAATACATTCCAGAAGCCAAAACTTAGAAATAGGTCATAGTTTGGGCCTGAGTAAATAAGCGCAGAGGCAGTTAAGTTTGATATGCATTTGAAGAAATATAAGGCATACTATTCCAGTGCCAGTGCACAAATGGCAATAAGCAGGCTGGCTATGACACGACTAGTGGATGATTCTAGTACAGTCCTTCACTGTAATATCAAATTATTGAAAATGCTAACATTTTCTTAGTGTCACGTAGACGAGTAATATTTTTAAAGGGGGTTCTGCACATGTACATTCATCTCTCTTTCAAATTTTCTTCAAGAATATTTGAAAATAAGTCATCAGACTTATTTCTGTGTTGTTCTACTTATAAGACTTTCAGAAAAATAGAAGCTTTCATTAACTAGCTATTCTGACATCACTGCAGTTCCAGTTATATCATCATATTAATGACCTCACATTTAGCATGCAAGATTTGGTACACAAGCTGTGGAAGATTTTACAAGTGGCTGGGATTGCTATGTTCAAATAGTAAGTGAGGAAGTGGAACTATTCTCAATGAAATTCTTTTAAATGTGTATTTAATGTTTAGCATTATAGGTGCTATATCTTTCTGCCTTGTTGGGGAATCCAGGATATACGCTATTATTTTTTACCTCTAAATGAAACTATTTCCTATTCAAATAGTCAAATTTTACTGGTGAAGTGTAGTGACAACACATCAGCTCAAATTTTACTAATGGTTATGTAGGAATGCAGTCAAAAAACCCTTTGTGCCTTATGGATAATTTCAATTAACACCTGTTTATTTTCTCTACAGAATTTTTCCGAGAACTTCTGGAGAACGCAGAAAAATCTCTAAATGACATGTTTGTACGGACGTATGGAATGCTGTACATGCAGAACTCAGAAGTGTTCCAGGATCTCTTTACAGAACTGAAACGATATTATACAGGAGGCAACGTGAACTTGGAGGAAATGCTAAATGATTTCTGGGCTCGACTCCTGGAGCGGATGTTCCAGCTCATAAACCCCCAGTATCATTTCACTGAGGACTACTTGGAGTGTGTAAGCAAGTACACAGACCAGCTGAAGCCATTTGGAGATGTACCGAGGAAGCTGAAGGTTCAAGTTACTAGAGCTTTCATTGCTGCACGGACCTTTGTTCAGGGGCTGACTGTAGGCAGAGAGGTTGCAAACAGAGTATCCAAGGTAATCTAAAATTAGAGTTTTTTAAGCTTGAATTCGTTTCAAATGTGTTTATTAGACATTTGAATTCTGATTATGCACTGTTGTTTTTTTTTTTAATGTGTACTGATATACTGATCCTAAGTTTATAAATAAGGGCAACACTGGTTTTTAGTTATTTTTGGAGAGGTTAAGGCCATACTGACTGGAAAGCATTTTCCCTTGCTTAGGACTCAACGAAGTATCAATATGCATCCCAATTCTATCACAGTAGTGATTGTCATTAGTAATGCCAAAAAGGTTACATATGTAAAAGATGACGATTATGATCAGAATTTAAATGTTTCAAATAAATTTATGAAGCTATTTGTTAGGGCAGCAGAGCCTGTAAAGTATTCATTCATAATGCAACTGGACGATGGATTTTGTTAGAAATGTCTAGGCACGCTTTTGATGAGGAAATAGACCACGAGTGACACCTCTGGAGCTTGAGCTTTCCCAAAGGACAGTTTGACTCACATTTATTTGTTTTAATTATTTATCTATGCAAATATTTATGATGATTGTAACTCTTGAGGGCGTCACATAAATCAAGCTACATAAGAAAAAAATCACACGCAAAAATAACCCATCTCAGTACCCAAAATGTGCCTGAATGACTTCTTGCAAAATTAAAAATTGCATTATTTTGCAATTAAAAGTTAATAAGCTATGGAGCCAGGGAGGTAGCTAACAAACATGAGCCTAATTTTGTGCCTGGGGCACTTGTATGGCAGGAAAGGGTCATTTTGCACTTCAGAGTTGGTGATCAAAATACATGATCTGGTCACCCAGTTAGAACTAAGGTCTCTTCCTCCCAGGTGCCCTCCTGGGCTCTGGCATCAGGTTTCCCTTTATCTCTAGCACTGTTGATTTTTTGCATCCCTTTCCGAGCAGCTGCATGGCATCAGCATGAAATCCCAGCCCATTTAGCCTGGTTGGTGGAGGATGTGGATGTTTAGCCTCTGAGTGTATGGAGTGCCTATACCTGCTGCCCCAGATTTCGTGGGAAGGGCTTTGATGTCTCCCTTGGTCGAGCTGGAAGTGCAAATGCTCAGCTCTGAAGTCACTCTTGTCAGTAGGCATTAAGTCTTGCTGCAACAGCTGGATCCTATTGTAGGGGTTAGGCTATGTAATTCATGTAATAGATGTGTAATGTGTGAAACCTGAACAGACAGAGGTATGAATTGTCTGCTGAGAAGATGCTTTTTCTTTGCATGTACATAAATGTACAGAATGTGTCTTGCCTTTCATATACCCAGGAAATGTTTTTGTCTAGCCTGGTGGTTTGGGGCACGCAAGCCCTTTCAAAAAAATAGATCCTGTCAGTAGATCACTAAATGGTTGTGTGATCCTATGACGAAAACTGCTAGTTCTGTAATCCTAAACTGAGCCTTTTTGTAGTGTCCGTTGAAGATGGTAACAATAGCTCATTTTAAATTGTAGTGCTTCTGTTTTTTTAACTTGAAAGCAAAGTTTTTAAATCCTTCAAGAGTGCCTGGTAGTTTGTGTGGTTGCAAGATACTGTGCAGGTTCTTTGCTTTAAATATAGATAAATATATTTTGAAGTAATAAATTTCTAATGTTTAGATTTTTCTAGTATTCCTACCGTCTTCTTAGGTTACTGCTTATCTGTACCTTTAGAGAAGTCCAAACCTTTTTTTGACCTCCTAGAATATTGTTTAATTTGATAAAAGTTTCTTCAAAGCATCACTGGAAAGGTCTGTGATAAAAGCCAAAGAGTGATCTTCCCGTGCATTGATCTCTGAAATTCCTTCACATCTGATGGTGTGTATCATGTTGGCAAGAATCCTGGTAGGCATACTCAGTTTCTTCCATAAAATAAGTATGTGTAGATGATATATTATAAATCTTGAACCTTTTAGATACATTTCTCCATATGCTGCTGCTTATGCTTAGCAATACAGGCAATCACACAATCTGTATTTAGGAATTTATTACACAAAAAATCAGTATATATGCATGTAAAAATGCACTAGAAGTGTATTATTAACTTTGAAAAATCACTCAGAAACAACGCAATAGCTAGAACTAATTTGTCTGTGCATCTTTAATTCAACTCATATGTTTATGGTATGATAAAAAGTTGCACATTTCCACAGATCCTTTACCCAAGTCAGTGAGCAAGACAGATTGTGCTAACTTAATAAGGTGCTAATTCAAACTGTCCTTTAAAGAGACTGCTAGGACGTGGTCTGTGAGCCTCTTCATTCGTGTTATCATTGCACCTTTTGAGTTCCTCATAAACAGTAAGTCATATATCTTTGAAACATGTATAGGAGGTAAAGTATAGGTGTAATAAGAAGTGACTGAGAGACTACAGTTTAGATTCTAAATTTGGGACTCCTACAATCTGATTATTCAAAGTACTTTAGCTTCATTGATTTAGTCATACAGTGTTTTTGTAAATTAAGCCTCAGTGTTCAGGCATCTCTGAAATGAAGAGTGTGCAGTCAGTGACTCCCACATGGAAAAAACAGTGGCATAAATAGCTTGCCTAGTACAGTATTTTCTGTGAAATCAGTGGAAAAAACATTTTTTATGGTAACGTTCAGTTACTCTAATCATAAGACCCTTGGTTTGTCTTTCTGAAGTACCCTTCCTCTACTAAACCCTTGAGCTTCTGGCACAAGTGACGGAAGGGTTCTCCAGAGAAATGCCCTTCTCTTCCTAGTCCAGCTTCTTCGCCGCAACAGGCCTATCCCATGCAATGAATGAGATCACCATAAAATGGAAGACCTTACTTCCAACATTTTGTTAAGAATTGATGTCATTCAAGTTGAGACTCTCGGGGCTCACTCTAGTTGCCTCGGTATCTAGTGCACTTTAAGATGCCCTAGCATATCCAAGTCTCACACGGGGCTGGTTCACACAGGAGGCTATGGCATACTTGCTTTCTTCTGGAGCTGGGTACTCAGGCCAAGGACTCCACTGAATTTCAAAGGGTACCTATATTAAAGCAATTCCAATTATCCAAAAGGCTGAGATTCTGCTGCAGATTGTGGACACCTAAAATTAGCAGTGACAGTAGGACAGGAGTAAGACAGCCAAATCTGGGGTTTTCTCAAATCAGGCAGGAGTCACAAATCTTCACTGACTGGAGGGTTGTCAACACAGTCTGTGGGGGCTAGCTGTTTGTATGCAGGGCCTCAATTTAGTAGTCCATGTATAGACATCTAGTGTCATTTTAGATGCCCTAAGGCACTCCCACCCGACTTCCTGTTTTGTTTCAGAAAAGGTCCTACCTTAGTCCTGTGTCACATCTGCCAGGCCTATATGGTTGTTTCTGGTAATACGGCGACTACAGCACTAGCCCTAGACGTTTACTTCTGTGAAAGTGGAGTCCTTCTATAAAGTCTGTTGACTGTATTGCTTGTATTTCTGTTGAGTATATTGAATGTTCAGACGCCTAGCTCACAAATAGATGATTTCCTTTAGACATCTAAATGTTGGCATCCGCATCCAAGGCTGAGTCCCACCAAAATCATAGAAGAATCCTATTATTGATAGTGTTTGAATACTTGACTTTTCAAACTTAATAATTTTCTTCTAGCTTGCTTCTGTATGTGTGTAAACTATCAACATATATAAGTTAAATGGAGTGGCATTTATAGAAAGCTGAGTGCCTCACTACATCCAAGCACTGTGCTTGTATTGACATGTTCGTTTTATGTGCTGTATAAAATATAAAGCGAAGGTACGTATTCATTTTACAAATACGTATGTGACTATGCATAAGTAATAATACTTTTTTTTCCTTTGAATACTTCCCAATTGCAATCTATGCTTAGCAATGAAAAACTTTTCCTTTCTAATCAAGTTATCCGACTAGAGAAATGATACTAATAAGAATGAAGCAAGACTAGTGGAAAAAAAGCTTGAATAGATTCCCACGCTGCAGAGTTCAATGCAGCTTCATTTCTAGAATCTCTTCTTCTGCACTCTTTAGGTTCACACTAGCATGAAATTAGAACTCTGGTTCTAAAAAAAAATGTATGAAGGAAAAAGTCATGTGATTAGCATGTTTTAAGGCCCAATGATGCTCTATTAGACCACATCTAGAATACTGCATCCAGTTTTGGGCCACCTCATACAAGAAGGATGTTGACAAACTGGTGTGAGTCCAGGAGAGGATCATGAGAATGGTCGGGGCTGGAGCACTTTCCCTGTGAGGAGAGGCTGAGGGACCGAGGCTTGTTCTGCCTGCAGAAGGGATGGCAGCAGATGACATAACAGCAGCCCCCCGGGTACCTATGAGGAGATCTTCGAGAAGATGGAGCCAGGCTCTTCACAGTGGCGCATGACCAGAGAAAAATAGACAATGGGCTTGAATTGAAACATGAGAGGTTCAGACTGGTATAACGAGACACTTTTCACCATAAGGACAGTCAAGCAATGGAACAGGTTGCCCAGAGCTGCTGCGCAGGCTCCGTCCTTGGAGATTTTAAAGATCTGACTGGACAGAGCCCTAAGCAATCTGGTCTGACCTCAGATCTGAACTTGCTTTGAGCAGCAGGTTAGACTAGAGACCTCCTGAGGTCCCTTCCAACCTGAATTATCCTATGATCCTATTAAAATGTTCATGAAAGGAACATTTTAACTTAAATGCAGAATATGCTTTGATGGCAAGACTGACTTTAGTATTAAAATATCAGAGGATATATTCATATGCACAGCAAATGGTAACCAACTGCTGATTTGAGGGACTGAGTCATACGCAGCCTGGTGCGGCAGATGCAAAGAACCCTACATCACCCCAAATATGCAAGATTAATAAATAGGCTGTGGAAAAGATGTGATTACTCCGATATGCAAGTTTTCGTGGTTTTACCACAAATGCATATTTTATGTTGGCGTGTCTACGATAGAGCGTGATAAATGCTCTACAGTATGAAGAGCTTTTCTTTAAACTTGGTTTAGAACAGATTGCAGCCATTCTTTCAAGTTAGCATATAACTTTGCCA